AATGGCAACTGCATTCTCCTCAGTTCAGAGGTTCTGCATTTATGGGAAACTGAAACCCTGATATCTTAAGCACTTCATGACTGTACATCTGTCTTTGCTTCATGCTGTGCTTTGCTTGTTAATTACTGATTGCTTCAGAGAAAGTTTCAATTGCCAAAAAGATTGATCTTAACTCACACAGGTTTATGACTATTTGTGTACAATTTACTGGAGAGTGAAGTATGAAAATTTCCTAGCAGCGTCTGTTTCATCTTTGAAGCGTTGCGAAAAAGCCAACGCATTCTCCATTTTTAAAGCTATCTGTCATGAGCAGGATACAATATCAAAATACAATGCAATATCAATCATGTGGTTCCACAGGAATGACGCTTGAAATGGAATTGGAAGATTTTGAGATTGGGCTTCCAAATAGTTTTATCTTTTGACATGACTTTACACTTTGATTTGAATTGAGATATAAGCCCTGCATCTACAATTGTAATATCTGGAATTAGAGTAGAATTCAGTGCAAAAAGTTCTTTGTTTGGATAGTCATTATGTCTTCAAATATTATTTTGCTTATGTCACAATTACAATTTCAAATCAACTTTTTATCCTCTTAACACTCTTTTTATACTGCATACATTGCATTATAAAAATTGTTATAGTAATTATTCCAAATAATAACTCAAATAATCATTACTATACCAAAGTTCTCTTTTTCTTTCTCCTTGTATTTATTCTTCTCCACAAGCTCCAAGGCATAAGCAATTTCAATGGGTCAATGGGCACTAAAAACATGATTCAAGAGTCAAAACCACTCCCTCGATGACCAATCACCATTGCAAGACGGAAGATATCTGTACAATATATAGAGGGAAAGGAGGGAGGTTTAATGTAAACATTATTTGTCACTTTTTGAACTTTTATTTTTATTCTTATAGGAACAACTTTTATTTTAGTTGTCTAAAGACATGTTTATGGTTAGTTATTTTGGAAACATATTTTGCTTTAATTATTTGCTTTTCACCATGATTAACCCTAAATATTATAACTATCAATATAGCAATTATTATGTGAAAGAAACTTAAGAGATTAAAGTTTGCTTTAGCAATGAAAAATTCATATAAAATTTATTGATTATAAATATTATGCATTCTTTTATTACACATCAAGTATGCAAAAAGCACTAATAATGATCAGTAGTGATAAGGACACGTTAGACGTGTGTGCATAATTTTTAAAAAATAAACTTTGATCTTTTAAAAGTTCAAATGTTGGTTACAATTTTAAAAGCTTTTGGAATAAAATTTTAATGAACTTGATGGTTAAAATACTTGTGGGTGGTTATGGGTGAAAGTTAATTATGGTTATATTGGTTGGTAATATAATTAAGTTATTGTAAAAATAAAGTTGAAAATAAAAAAAGTGACAAAAAATGTAAAATGTTTACACCAAATTCAATGCTCTCCCATTATATATAACTGCCACAAAACTTGGGGAAGGATTGGCTTGGTGGTTCGGCGAGGGAGTGTAATTGAGAGATTTTGGATTTATGCACTTCTACTCACAATCTTACAGTACAAAAAAAAAAACTGCCACAAAACTTGAGGGGGCGAATATTTAGAAACTATATCGGTATATCCTATGTGAGGAGTAAATGAGAACTAGTCTCATATTGGGGGATTATAGTTGCAATATTCTCCCTAAATGTCTTTAATCCAAGAAGTAATCTGGACAGGACATATTACGCTTTAGAAAGAAATAGGGAAAATCGTTCAGAACATTTTTATCTAGGTTTTTTATTAGTTTTTGACTGGAATCTACCACGTGCCTTGCACATGATCTTTTTTTTGGGATAAAATTGTCAAACATATTTCACATAATCTGATCCATAGTCCCTCATATTTCATAAAATGAATTTTTTTTCGTCCCTCACATTTCACAAAATGAATTTTTTCGTCTCTCACATTTTGCAAAATGAAAAATTTTATCTCTCATTGATCATGTGTACGATAGTCTTTTCTTATTTTTGAAGACTCATATATATGTCTATTTGATTCCACGTGAATAGTACAAATAGCATATAATATATTTTAATTTTAATTTTACCTGAATAAGCTAATTGCAGTTGTAGATGAAATTAAATACATATATATTACATGCTATTTGTATTATTTAGATGAAATCAAATAGATATATACATGGATTTAAACAAAAAAGAAACTATTCGTACACATGATCAATGAGAGATGAAAAAATTGAATGATGTGAAATTTGATTCGATAATTTTACCCCTAAAACATGATCACGTGCAAGGGACGTGGTGGATTCCGACAAAAAACTAGTTAAAAAACTAGGTAGGGACTAAATTTTATCAATGTAAATTTGTAAGGGATGTAAAATTATATTTTTAAAAGTGATGGATGAAAAAAATTATTTTACAAAATGTAAGGGACGTTTTGAACGATTTTTCCAAAGAAATATAGAAAGGAAAGTACTAAATGGTCTCTAGAATATTTTCACAACCAATTTAGACCTACAAATTTTAAAATTTTAAATCCCTAGCCGCACCAATTCTTTTTTTTTTGGCACTAATGGCATCTTAATATTTTTTTCTTCAACAGATTATTTATTAATATTAAAAGTTTCCAATCTATATTTTGATGATTCAAACTTGCAAGTCTTTTTGTTAGAAAAGTATCTTAACAAAATTGTCCTTCGTTATCAAATATTATTATAGTATATGTTATGTTATGTACAACAAATCAATGCTCTCTGAACGAATTAAGTGACAATCTATATCTATATAAATTTGAGAAGGGATTTTTAACAACAAGCCTCCACGCATCTTCCCACTATCAATTCCATTTTTCTAGCATTTCACATTTAATTTAATTTATAAAATATATTCCTCTCAACTTCCACATCTACTTTTCACATTTGAAATTGTTTGTTACTTTTTAAAATCATTTCATTTCAAATTGTTGGTTAATGTGAATGTTATCCTATTTGAACTTCAACCCATCACTTTTCCGATTGCCTTGTGTTATTTATGATTCTACAATAATTAAAACTTCTATGAGACCATAAGAAGAGATAACAAATATAACATCCTTTCATACTTTCTTATTAATTTAAATAAGTAAGATTATTTACACTCCAGTTTTTGTTATTCACACTTCAATAATCATTTTGATCATATAATTTTCATTAATTAGACTATATGATAAAATAAATAGTGGAATTGCAAATAATAAAAAATGAAGTTCAAATAACATTTTCTTAAGTAAGCAGTGGCTCCACTTATATTGGAGTTTGGTTTGAAATTTATTAATGAGAGGGTAAATAAAAAGAAAACATTGCCAAACTTAGTAAAAGTAAAAAAGTAAATGATAATATTTTATCTTTTAACATAGTAATCCTAAGTAAAAGGGCAAAATTAAATAGAAAACAAAAAGGAAATAATGTCGTGGATTTAAAAAATCAAGAATAGTACCATTCATGAAATCCAAATTATGAAATCACTAAATAAAAAACAAAGTACTACTAGCCTTTTAATGTGGAACTTTTTTTTTGAAATATTCATTTTTGATAAAAAAATAATGATAATAACAACATCAATTCTACCAATTTTTTTTTTAAAAGTAACATTATAGTTTAAGAGAGAGATATAGAACATTCAACCCTAAAATACTACTTAATTTGTATACATCTGGCCCAAATTTGACATTAGACTTGAATAAGAGTACAAAGCCCAAACACTATGGATAACTTTTGGTATTATTAATTATTTTATGTATTCTTATTGCTGTCTTCATGTGTAAATATGTATTTGCTATGTTAAATATATATATATATATATTGATTGTAGTACTTGAGGATATTATAGATATTATCAGTTTTTCATTTCCATTTTTAGATGCTAATAATTGCAACCATTGTAATCAATTTTCAATTTTATATTTTCATTATAATAGGTAAAGTTAAATATATTGGGTAGCAGGGATATGAATTTAGAGGTTAGGTATAGGGGGGGAGGGAGGGAAGAAAATGGTGAGGAGTTGAAAAGTGGCAGAAAAGGTTGAAGAAGAAATATGGGTTAGAAGTATGGGTGGAGAAGGAGAGAAGAAGAATGGGGATTGCAGGGATATGACAGAGATGACAAAAAAAAAAAAAAATAATAGAAAGAGTGGTACCATGATAGAAGATATGAAAGTCGTAGGAGGCATTTGATGACTAGCTGACGGATAAGAGAAGAGGGAAATGATAGTGATTTTTAATAATTTTGAGAACTCTAAAAACACATATTACCGAAATTTTTTTTAAAATATACGTTAAAATTTATGAAAAATGCTAATCTAAATGCAGTCAACAATTTTAGGGGCACAAGATAGAAGAAAGATTTTTTTTTTTCTAAAAATAAATTTGGTTATAATTTATTTTTTTATATTATAAGTTTTGATATATGGATATAACATAATATGTTTTGTCGGATATTGATAAATTGACTTTTTTTTTAGAAAACTCTTCTTACCTTACCACCCAACCTAACCCTCTCCTTAAATGCGTTAACAATTCTTTTATCATGTAAATCATTATAGATTAATTTTGTTTTCAAAATATTAAGCATACACTTCTTTAAAATTTTTAGTATATATATATATATTATTCTATACCACAATATATAAATATATATAATATTATTTTGATTTGAAATATAATCCCGTGCATAGCACGGGTCAAAATACTAGTTCCAAAAACTCCCAAACAAAAAAAAAATCTAAAAAGATATCTTGCGTTATCCATTTAAGAATCCCCTAGAATTTGGAGTTAACAGGTGGGCCGGTGGGATATTGGTAAAGTTTTTTTTTTTTTAAAATTAAAAAATGGTTTTTTTTTCTTTTAATCTTTTATTTCACATTTACATTTTTTTCAACTGGATAGATCAATTTTTTGACCTGAAGGACCAGCCTCTAAATAAACTATTTAGGGACCATGTAATTTAACCATAAAAGTTTAAGCATTAAACAGAAATTTAACAAAATAATTTAGAGACCATGTGGTTAATTTGACAATATTCTTTTTTTTTTCTTCCGAAACGATAGAGGAGTTAATTTGACAATATTCAAAACAGCAAAACTCCAGAGCTCGATCCTAATGATTGTTACTTTGTCCCCAATTTCTTCCGCCTCAAAAACGCGGTAACACAGAAACAAAACTCTTCAATCTTTCATACATCCCCATCCGGCCATCCCCCAGCAGTTTAGGCTTTAGACACCCAACATCTCCCCTCAAAATATGGAAACGAAAGCTTCCCATCGAGAAGATCTATCATCAGCACAAGCAGTATTGATGGGAGCTTTAGCTCCTGGGGTCAATGTCAGTACAACGTTCCCAGTTCATCGTCTCCTTATAATTTCCCAAATCCTAAAATTCAGTTCCCATTTGTCTAATTGGTTTTCTGATTTCAGGGTCCCACTTGGAATACACTAAAGATTGCATTTTTTATGCTGGGTGTAAGTCTGGTTGCTATGCTAGGCTTAGCATTCTCCTCTAGTGACTCTACATTGACCCTCCATGTTGCTGTTTTTGTTTTTCTGACTGGAACCCTTTTCTTTCTTTTAAGCAGGTAGCTTAATTGATCCTTCTACTTAAAACCCTTTATTTTCTTTCACTTATTCTTTTTTCCTTTTATTTGGTTGTTTGTCTGGTTATTTATGCATTTAAATTATATATATATCTAATTATAAGGCATGAATTTGTACATAGTCGACAGTTGGGAGTAAGAATAGCATATGATACGAATTTGGTGGACTTTCTATGATTACCTATCCAATGTGAACTCATCATGAAGTGGTACAAATTTGTCGCAGAGTTGCTTATTCCTCTCGTTCAGCTGGAGATTGAATGAGTAGTGAATTAATAATTTCTGGTTGAGATACTTGGAAAAAAAATGTTGAATGTAAACTCAATATGAAGCAAAGAAATTCTAAATCTCTCATGTTAGCCTATACTTGATGATACATGCTCTTATGCAAATTTTGCCACCAACTGCATACCTTGCTTGTATATATAAAGCTTAGGACACCTATTCTAGGTTTTTCTCTCTTTTTTATCTTTTTGTAAATACTTTTTGGCTGAGTGGTTGTGTTTCTATTGTTCAAAGTGAAACTTAGTGAGTTGTAGCTGCGGCTTGTGAAAGTATTGACGTGAAAGGTAAACCTTAGTCATGAGACCACTACCATTGAAGGTTGGCAAAGACTTATGGATATGGAACACTACCCCTCCCTATAAGCATCGTAAAGTTTGGTGCAACTCTAAGGTTGTGATAGCTTTGTATAATTGTGGTGGCGAGGCAATGCCATGATTTTTCTGCCCTCCCCTCTCACAAAGTGTCTTGCTGGAAAGCTCTCACAAGAGCAAGCATAAATGGTATTCCTGTAAGAGATGTGGTGCATGTAAACATATTTTTATTTAGTCCATAAAGTAGAGGTGATGCACGATCATGTGAACATTCCAAGTGATTTTCAAATTTCATAGGCTTTGGGAAAGTTAAACTGATAAAATTTTTTGGTTCGTTGCTTGACCCTAGATTGATTTAATTCATGGATTATTGTAAGTAGTCATATCCTACTAAACATTTTCTTGCCTCAATCTGGAGAAGATACAACTTAAATTCGTTTTGGTACTAAACCATTCTTTGCCCAGAATATAAAGAAGACACAAGCTAAGTTCCTCTTGGGAGCACATGTTATATTACTTTAGGAAACCATAGATAAAGTCTGCTGTCCTACTTGCAAGTGCATTTGGCCTTCCTGAAGATTGTTGCTTTTAGAATAAATCATGTAAGACAGATTGAACTCAAGTTCTAAGCTTCTATAACTAAGGTCTTTGAGCTTAAAAATTGTGGTAATCTTTTCCATCTCATATAAAATGTATGTGTATGAATGTGCAATGGAATCATGGCGAAGAAAATTGAATTCATCTTAGGGTAATCTATGATTCTATATGAAAGGGCTGTTTTGGTTTTGACAGCTCACATGTAAAGGGTAGTGAGTGAGGAGCATTTTGGCGTGAAAAGGACAGGGCAGAAACAGTTGCTTTATAAGAATGATGGCTTTCAGACATAAACATTGGCCAGGGATCTAAAGTAAGGAATTTTTGCAAGCAACACCAACAGAATATGTTATATTGCAAATGTTTGCGGTGTCTTTTGAATGGCTTTTACTCGTGCACTGCATGTGAGAAATGATGGGCCTGAAGGAGAAATAAAGGAATATGACCGAAGTGCAAAAAGGATTAACCATTGATTGCTTTTTAGTCGGGGTTTTATTTTGATGAACAATCAAGGTTGTGATGTAACAGAAACTAAATATTAAGAGCTAAGATGAAAATAGTGCTAAACCTTGGGCCAGGTTTAATGTAATAACCCCTTTTATTTATCTGTGCTCCTCTTTGACAAATCCTATGTGGACTTTTTTCTTATTGACTATGTTTTTCAAGTTTGGCAAACGGTGATAATAATCTTTTTTCTGGTGACTTTTATCCTTTGGCTGTTCTGGATTTCCAGTTGATTTATGTTAATACTAAATTAGTCAAGTAGAATTGGATCTATGCTCCAAATGTTTTTTTTTTACTTGAAAGTTTTCTTGTCTGTATTCATATACCTATTCATTCTGCAGCTTTCTTGCACAGACTGGTCTGGTTTCAGTGGAGCATCAAATGCAAGAAATAGGTTTGGCACCCAAAAGTTTTGGGGATGTTAAAAATGATAAGAGTAATTGACATCCAAATAAAAAATATTTACAAGTGATACATGTATGATTTCTGAAAAGAGAAACCCCTAAATGGCTAACTGGCATCTGCAAGGAGGTAGGAGGAGGAAGGGGAAAGACCAAGCATCCTTGGTCAATCATTGCTTCTGTGCTGATCTTCATTTACGATGGAGAAGTGTCAGTCTTCCTTCTGCTCCTTCTCCTTTGATTTACTCTTTCTGGACTTTATGAAGCAGAAACATGAGCAGCAGGGAAATTGCAACAAGAACTTCATGCCTTATCTTTTCTGGATGATGGCAATGTTCATAATACCAAAATGTATAGGGTGTTACAACCCTGTTTTCTCTTTTTATTTGCTCTTGGATTCTATTCTGTCCTTGAAAAGATGCAGATGCCTAGCTTTTTTGTCGAGTGAGTGATGCATCTTTATCTTTATGTTGTATGTACGTGTCTTCTAAACGCTCTAATGCCTTGTGAAAGAAAAGGTTCTTTTTCAGAATTCCAGAAAAGAGAGTTACATTTCATTGTTTAAATAATTTTGCTTAGTTGATTGGACTAAGCATAATGATCATAGTATTGTATACCAATATTTGTTCCTGTATTTTTTTGGATAGGTAGTTTTTAACCCTTAAAGGTGCACGAAGGATGGAATAACTTTGCCTTGCCGCTCAAAGTAATGTGATCTTTAGCAGAGATGGTTTTCACTTTGTAACTTCCTTGCCATCCGGTAAGTGCCTTGCCTAGCTATTAATATTAAATTACTCTCCTGGTCAAATTCTTTACTGTTCTCTGCCCCTTTCACCCAGCCTGCTGCGACCTCAAAACATTGAGGTTTCAACCGTTTGATAATTCATGCCAATCAAAGTCCCAATTGTCCAAGGCTCCAATCCCAATACGAACCATATTAATTTCCTATGAATTTTCATTTTGCCTTTTAATCCACAATTCTACTAAAAAACAAATATACCCATCACAATGTAATTGCCAATATTACAGCACTTTCTGGACCTCTCGTTTGCACTCCATCTTCTGAGCTGCCCAACCCTTCGCTCCCCCTTCCCCCCACAGCGCTTTCTGGAGTGGCTATCCGTTAACAAGTGCTGGCTAAAATTTCCAAACCAAATTTATAATGCTCATCTATAATAACATTTTGTAAAATGACTTCTTATTCCTTACTACAGCCAAATTGGTCTGAAGACTCATTTAATTGGCAATTTTTCTTTGAACAGGCTCTCAGAATCCATAACTCTGATCTAAATGGAATGGACATTTTTTTAACAAAAAGAAAAAAGAAAAAGATCTAAAGGGACAGAATTTTTTTTTTAATTTTTTAAAAGAAAATTAAAGACCAAGTTTTCCATCTCTGATCCTGTGAGCTTTGTCCAACTTAAATGAGATGATGCAAGACGTAAAAAATCAAGCCATTGCAACTTTCGAGTTTAAGTAGCAAACTTAAAGTTTAGTTCAAACAAAAAAGATTGTGTAAAATGAAAAAAAAAATTGGACCGATAATGATGATTAAGATCTCGAAAGTGCATATTTTTTGGTTAGCTTTTAATTCAGATATTTGGTAAAGTTAAGCATTTTGTCATAGGATTTAGATAAATAGTCTATTTCAAAGGAATATAATTAGTGCCTAAAGTTAAGCTTTTCCTAGTTGTAGGAATTGGCTATGTAGTCTACTTGATTGTGATTGAGACTGTACATATGAAAATATGTACGTATGCCTAAAGTTATGTAGAAGTGTCTTATCACTAAGGATATGAAAAAGTAACTCAAAAGAACTAACACGTGGATCAGTGAAATTTAGAAATTAGAGTAGAAATCTTTTCGTAATTATGAAAACTTCATCGGAGCCTAGATAGAAGTCTAGTCCAGCTCACTTGCCACGTATCTGGTTCTGCCTTGGAACACAATTGTTTCATAGTGTGAAAACTGCAAAATAGAATTCAAGCTTGATTGAGATCGATTGAACTCGATTAAGCTTGATTTGGTCAAATTTGAGTTCGAACTTGAGTAACGTAAAATAAACTCGAGCTCAACTTTGAAGAATTTGACGAGTTCAAATTACTCAAGATCGATTCGACCTGATAACAGTTCTTCTATGTCTAATCCAGCTTACTTACCAAGTTTGTTGTTCTGCCTGGGAACATACTTGCAATCTTGTTTCATGGTGTAAAAAGCTGGAAAATAGAATTCGAACTCTTACCTTTTCTTTATGGATTTTTTTTTTTTTTTGGCGCTGCTGATGCTGTGAGTTGATTCCTTGGTGTCTGTTTTTCCTTTGGTTAATGCATCGAGGACAAATGCAGTTTCACTAAACTGCCCTATTTCGTTTCGAAATGGCCTCAATTTTATATCTAACTCTTTACATTTGTCCATCAACAAATAATTTTTGTCTTTGTCCTTCCCTTTTTCCCTTTCTTTCGTCCACCACCCCAGGATAATATTAGAAGCCAAAATTTCATTTAAAAAGAAAAGCAAAATGACTGGGGGAAAAAAAAAAGAAACAAAAAGAGGCGGGCTTATTTTTAATATATCATAGGTTTAGAACGCAAGTCAAATTTCCAAACGTTCTTCAAAAGGTCAAAAATACCCCTGTGAGCGAGATACGTGGCATAAATTAGTTTGGTTGGCACAGGCAAGAATACAATGCACCACAGTACACAATAACTACTATAGCCTGGCCGTACCATAAATAGGACCCACAACAAAATCCATCCTCGTCCTTCCAACAAAATCCATCGTCGTCCTTCCACCGTCCCAGTATTTCCTTTGTCTGCTTTCGCGGAAGAAGTGGGGGATGAAACAAAAGCCCAAAAACACGAGGGACAATGATGTATCTTTCACCTTAGAACTGATGATATTGCCACAGGCCAACGGCAACGTATAAATGAACTTGTACAATAAAATGCCTCCATGAAATCAGTTACTTAAACAGAGATCAATCGAATCTGGCTTTGAATTTTTGTTGGAGGTCGTTATTATCACGAGTGTTCCTTACACAATTTGTAATTCTGGTGCACCCTCTAGAGTAAGGATTGATCTTTTGATGCGAACCACAGTTATAGTAAGACGAACCCCGTCGGTTGCATGGGATATTACCTCTACGCAGGGCATCATAACTAATGTAACGAGTTTGAGCCAGTACCCGCCGGCTAGCCTCAGAATCAAGCATCATTTCTTCAGCTTCATCGATGCAATCGCCGACTCGACCATTGCATGTAGCTATGCCATGAGAAGGGATGACGGAATCAATGTCGAACAGGGCTTCTTTGTAATCAGCAAATGACGATTCCGCTATCAGGAAAACCCTGGCCAGCAAGAGGATTAGAAGGCAATGCAGATATCCATTCCCATGTGGTTTTTTTCTTTTGAAAATTTGGGAAGGATGAATTGATGGAATGTGAAGATTTTGTGTTGATCAGGTTTGCGTTATCTGTTTTGAGTGTTATTGTGGATAGAGAAGCATGAGAGAAAATTATATGGAAGGTGGAAACTGGATAATGTAAGCTTGGATGAGGTTAGCGCATGCATGCATGCATGATGTGTCTCTTAAGGGTTAGCGTTTTGGAAAATTGGCCTGTTTTTGCTCCTATTTCTTCTCTAGTTAACGGAGGTGGGTGCTGGTGGTGGTTGTTGCCGTTCTATCTGTGCTGTCGAAGGGAAAAAAAAGAAGCTGAATTTGCATTCACTGCCATTCGCAACCAGTAGGATATTGCTTTTTTTTTTGGGGCCAAAAAGTAGTACCATTTGGTCGCCCACCTGTATATGTTTCTTTTTATTTCTCATATTAGTTCTGACTTTTTTTTTTTTTTTTTTGGTTGGTCTGCGGTCCTTGGACACTATTTGAGTTCTCACGGAGTCCAACACAGTACTTGGGTAGGATAGGTTAGACAGAGATGGTTAGGTCCTGTTCTGTTTTGTGAATGATTATCCAAAACTCACAATAGCCCATACAAGGTAATGACAATCAGCGAGCTGCTTCACCTTGACCAAGGTTCGCAATTCGCATTTATCAATGTAGGGATGGCAACGGGTAATAAAACCCGATATTCGTGAATATCCAACCAGACAGTTAATCTCTGATTATATGATTGATTCACTCTTCATTAGGATTCGGTATCGAAGAGATATTTTTTGATGCGAGGTTCAAAAAATTTAATGCTCATACCCGATGTATAAGTTCACATATATAATATGAATAAAATATATATACACACAATTTCATGGTTGGAAGTTAGAAAAGGGATATATATATATATATATGAAGACAAGAAGGTTTATTATAATCTGCTTTTTTACTTTTGCACGTTATAGGATGAAACACGAAGACAAGAAGGTCACAAGGATGATTCAAGTGTGAACTGTAATTGCCTTTCTTTGTCATGAAATTGTGATCAAAACCATTTTTTATGGGATTAATAGACCTTGATTGTTGCTTCTTGGCATGCTAGGAAAAAGGATCTATTGACTTTCTAATTCAGTAAAAAAAAAAAAAAATCGATTTAATGCAGTTTTGGTTTGTCTTATTAGTTGCCCAAAATTTTCTGAAACTTCCACAGATTATTTTGCACACAGAGGTGTAAAAGAGGATTTGTGCAGTATGATTACTATAAAAGAGCAATATGATTACTAAAAATCAATCTTTAAATCCAGAACTTCTTATATACTATCTCCAAATGACTCCTCAATACTACTTCAGTCTGCTTGATAAATCTTCTAAATATGCGCAGCGCAACACAATTTATGTTATCCGACTTCATTATCAAGTTGTTCTTTTCTCAAGTCTTTGCAAGATAAAGTACTCTTTCTCTGTTTTTTCTCACTCTCTCGTCCTTTCTTTGTCTAGGGTGCACTTTTTCTTCCTTTTCCCTTTCTCTCACCCTTTTTCCTCTCTAACCTTTGTTTGTTGTCCTGTAACTGTACCTTTAAACCAATGCTAGTAAATGTTGACTTGTACCATAATTATTCAACATTAATTAGGCGGGCATAATCAATAATGGTCTCAATCAAACAATTAAAAACTTGCCACAGAAATGGTTAAGAGTATTTATATGTGATATGTGCTTCCACAACATCTCCCACTCAGAAATTAAACGGAATCCATAAGAAATTAATTCCCCCTATGGTCCTTTACCATGTGGCTTCTTCTAGCAGTGCTATAAAGAGTTTAGCGATTCAAGAGTGCTCCCTCGGACCAGACACTGAGCACATACGGTTGTCAGCGACAACCGTTCAAAATAGTAGTGTAATACTTTTTAAATAAGTTATAATTACATCTTACCTGCTTGTACATGTTTATAATAAGAGTATAATATTCTGTTACTATTCATGTGATCAGCTCCATGTATAATAATTATATATATGTTATGAAATTTTACAAATAATTCACGTAAAGTGACAAGGTATTTAAAAAGTATTACTATATCATTTCGAAGACGATTATCACTGAAAACCCTCCGTGTCCGAGTACCTTCCTCCAATGGTAAGATTATGATTTTTAATTGATAATCCCATTGGCAGGATGGAAGAAACCTGATCAATCTTCTCAAGCGAGTAGAGTAG